TGCGAGTTTTGAACTTATCCTAAACCCTGAACCCGAAAGACCGATGGGGAGCTTTATGGAAGGTGCTTCTCCCCCCTCCTTTCGACACTTGTCTCACTACGCCGACTCAAGACCACAGGCCTCGCCTGGATTGTCCGACTCTCATCGAACTCAAACACCAGATTGCCCAAGCATGCGGCGCAAAGCAGGCGCAAACCCACCGAAAGTTTCACATGGCAACCATCATCGCTCAAGTTCCGTGCATACTCGAGTGCTGAAACTCGATGCGAGAGAGTGAGCCGCAATCCTCAACCACGGGAGGTATATTCGCCTGGAAGCGCAAAGCGGCGGACGCCCCGTCTACCAGCGTGAAGAGAAGGCCAGACTTCCCCGACAGGGGGGGGGTGCATGCGATTAGTGAAGGATTCGGAGCAACAACAGCAATGAAGAGCAACAAAAAAGACCACTCTCATTCATTGTGTACACATGTAAAAAGACCACTCTCATTCATTCTGTACGCATGTGCTTGTTTCTTGGTTTACTGTTGCTCATGTACGTGCGTATATCTGAATCCCAAAACACTAAAAAATTCAGGTGCTTATGTGCGTGTACACAACTAGCAGGATATCTGTATCTGTATTTCTTCGGGCTCGAGCAGTGATGGGCAGTGCCTGCACGCGTGTTTCACTGCCACTCACTTTCAAGCCGTGGTCATTCCCAATGTGTCCCTGGCGCATGATGATGCTTTTTAGCATCGTCCCAGATGCTCCGAGAGAATCTGGTATGATAAATAGCTACAGTACCCGGTATTTTGGCACAGCATGAACGGGGAGTTGTATGATGGAGCGTGGCACTGTAGATGGCTAGGATGTCGCAGGACATCGGATCACAGCCCCGAGGCTCAAAACTTCTGTCTTGATAAGCCTCGGCTGCTGTGCTCCAATCTTCAGTGGGCTTCCGGGATTCCCTTCGTTTGAGTGTAGGGTTTGTTTTTCCAGTTTCTGTCCTTGCACAGCTCAGCAGTTTGGCGCCCCTCCGATGGTGCTCTTCTTCTGGGAGTGTGCCGACGACCCGCCGCAATCAGGGTGGTGCCCGGCCTACGACCATGCAGGCAGTAGATTTCTAGCCTAGGGCCTAGGGCCAAGGATTCGCAAATATTGCATCCGATTTTGACCCCTGAGAGAGCTTGGAAATGAAGTGGCTATGATCACTGGCAGTGAACAGCTCGTGAACTTCGCGACCGGTTTGCAAGTGAGGGTGCGAGAAAGCACTCTCCTTCAAGAAACATCGTTCAGAGAATCCCTAGCAACACCTGGACAAGCTATCCCTGAATGTTGTGAGTTCCGAAAGCAGCTTGTCCAGATTGCCAGCACCCGAGAAAGACTCTATGAAGCCGAGGCAGCCTGATCCTTGAAGGCTTGTGTTCTTCGTAAGCTGAGGTATTTTTGTCCGAGTGTCGACGAGGAGTGCGAGGCCACAGAATGGTTTCTTTCACACTCCCTCTCGGCTGCGCATCTGCTAATTTATAATTTATCTCTGGAAAATTCTTGGAGCATTGGAGCATCTGTTCTTTCATGTTTCTCGTTTTGCCTTGGACGGTGCTGCTATTCGCCTGTAGTGGCCTTGGGCTGCATCAAGCCAAAGCGGTATGGCTCCTGCACGCAGACTTGGGCTTTCCGTGCCGGCGACAGTGATCATCCACCGACTGCAGGCTGGGTCGCTCCTTGACCGCAGCCTGGACAGCCTGGACGTGCAAACATGCTGTCGCCGTCTTCATGAGTTTTTTTTGCCAGGAGCTGCAAGAGTGAACGTTGAAATCGACCATGTTCATGCTGTTGGCCCGAAATAGCCCAAGAAGCGTCGAGTTGTGAGAGTCCGAACATCCCTGCGCTTCAACCCGCAGTGATCCGTGACGAGAGACAAAGAACGAACAAGCCAAGCCCGAAGCGACGGCGAAATCTCCGACACGATTGCAGCAGCAAGGAGCCTTACAACACGACTGGCGAAGTGAACCCAAGCTTCCGGGTTGAGGCGCGATTCGATGAAGGGTTTCTTTCATGATTCTTATTCCCTTGAAACTGCCCAAAGTAAGCAAGACTCTCTGCAAAAAAGCTAAAAGGCTGATAAACACGGAAATCCACCCGCACGGCTGCAATTGCCGGCCAGCACCTTAGAATCCGAGTCTCAGCATTTCCCACCCCTATTCCTCGGCTTTCGGGAGGAGTTTTCTTTGGGTTTAGGGGCCCAAAGTCTCCTTGACCCCTGAGACACTTTCAGGCCGCGCATTAGAGACCTGGGCGGAGCTGTCCGCATCTTGGATGGCCTGCAAGAAGGATGAGGAAGTGCCGAGCGAATCTAGGTCAGGAGCCGCAGCAACTGCCAAAGTCGATCATTTGTAGGCACTGCAGGCCCTTCTTCTTCATCAGTGCAGTGTAGCGGTAGCAGCAGATGCTCTTTGGTGGCACCAGGGCAGTAGCAAGGCCTGCTTGGGTTGGGACTGCCCCACCAAGAGAGCTAAAAGCATCTTGCGGCAGCACGGGCGAGGCACCGACAGCCAAAGACGCGACCGAAAAAAGTCGAACTCGTCTGTCGTTGTGTACCCTTCAACAAGAGACCCGGATCTTCCAAAGTAGAGGACGGCACCGACCCCACTGCGCCTGGCAGCCTAAGCCCAGACAACCCAAGCAACCATCTCGCAGATCTGCTGGGGTGGTGGCTTCACCCTCGACCGCCTTGTCCCCGGCAAGCCTCTTCCACCGGGCTGGGGCGTAGGTTCGCAAGATGAGATTGGATGACTAGGGTGATGAGACAAGATGTTGTGGCAGCCTGTGTCACAGACGCTCTGTGCAGGTTTGGGGGTTCGGAAATTTTGTGATTCTCGCAGGGGTGGGCTCACTTTAGAGCCTCGTTCTTGCCAAGGCGCGCGTGCAGCGCCGGAGGACGCCTGTCTGGCTTGCTCCGTCGTGTATGCTTCAGTGCATAGGCCGGCATAGGCAAAGAGAAGAGGCAATGAGCGAGAGGGAGAGAGAGAGAGAGAGAGAGAGAGAGAGAGAGCGAGAAAGACAGACGAAGTTCCGGGTTGATGGTTGAGGGGGTACATCGTCATAAAATACAAGCGGGGCGGGGGGGGCACTCTCCAACTCTCGCGAAACTCGCCTGTCTATCTCGGAGGCGCTGAAGCACTGTTTTTTTTTGTTTGGCTGGGGGAGGCTGGGGGAGAGACACGCGCCTGCAGGAGATCACTTGGCAGCCACGAAAGACTGGCTTCTCCAAGAGCTTCTGGGCTGCACGAGAGCCACCACCCTTGAAGCCTTTCATCGCTCTTGCATTGTGAAGACTGGTGGTGCCTGCAAAGATATGGCAGAAGCGGCTGTGCCGAGAAAGTCCTTCTTCCTGTTTCAGTTTCACCCACGATACTACAAGCCCCGTGACATACCCTATACTCGAAGGGCCATGATCTTCAAAGTTTCGTCGAGGCTTCAAATGGACTCGTAAAAGAGTCGAGTTGACGAAGCAGGAGCGGCGCCGCTTGACTGCTTCCTCAAACGGGGGGCTTTGAGTCTGCAGAGCTTCCAGCTTTATTGGGGTGTCGGATTTGGAGTTTGGGCTCCAAAGCTTGAGCTTTTACATGAGCTTCCGAGGCAGACGAAGCTGAAGCCGCGGGCACGCCCGATTTGTCAAACATCGACAACTATGGATCCTGCTGCCTAATCGTCTATCTCTCTAAATCCGAAAGCCTTATGCCCGGAGGCTCGGATCCTGTGGGTTGAGGTGCTGCGCTGTCGCTATGTCGGTCTAGGAGTCTAGCTGCTCAACATGCCAGCAAAGCTAGAATCACGCCCAGCGGGTTTCGTCTACGATGCTGCCGGAGAAAGCAAAAACACCTTAAAGCCTCCGGGATCATCCCTGAACCTTCGAAGCCCTAAGCTGCCAGACATCCCGCAGTTGAGGTGCAAAGGTCGCCGCCCTGAGGGAGCAGGGAAAGGGGACGAAAGGCGATCGTGGCACCAGGCACTCAGCTTCAGCTGGTCTCTTGTTATGGAAAGCTTGGACGAAGTCTCGCGCGTGATTGCGGATGTGCTTGTTTTGTGATGCATCGTTCTGCCATGATGTGCTGCTTTTGTCGGTTTTCGTTACGGTGGCCTCAGCTGGCCCCACTTCTTCGGCTACTGCTTGGGAGAGGGGACTACTTGTGGACACAGTTCGAATCGAATTGTTCTTCGGGATAAAGTGAGGCTGAGATGCATTGCTCTTGTTAATACGCTTGTGGACGTCAAAACTGCGAGACATGTCAAATGTGGGTCTGTCTGTGTGTGTGTGTGCAGTCTGAGATGATTGGCAAGCCTTTGGGGTTTTGTTCAGGTTCATGGTTGACTTGAGAGCCCCTTTGACCACCAGGCAATGGGTGCCCAGCGGCAAGGGTGCGTATGCCCAGGCGGGTAGTTCTCAACGATGCGGTGCAGATGAAACTACGAGAGAGTATCTTGCTGCCGTGTTCAGATAGATCAAACTGAAGGGCTATACTTGTTGACGGGAATACCGAACAAGTCTTTACAAACGCTCCCATTCAGCGAAGTGGCACAGATGCTTCTGTTCCTAAGCAGCAATGCTTTTCGTTGCATTGCCGAAAGGAGCCGCTTGCCATCGAGGACTCCGGATGGATCGAGCTGCAGCTAGAGGTCCTACTCACTCCTGCTCCTCCTGCTGCTCCACTACTATTTCTGATTACTACTGCTGCTGCTGCTGCTACTACTACGACGACGACGACTACTACAGCGACTGCAACCTCAACAACTGCAATTGCAATAACAACAGCTACAACAACAACTACTTCGACGATGACGGAGCCTACTACTACCACTACTGCACTGCTTTGTACGCAATGCTCCTGATGAGCTACGACATACTTCTGTGTGCTACCACTACATAAGACTACATATTGAGAGTTTTATGAATATGTCGATGGTCGATGATACTTTGGGCGACGTTTGCAGCATGGGTTTGATGGAGATCTGGTCTAGATGTCCGGCAGAAATGTCCGGTCGCAGGACGCCACCGACTCAACATATTGGGACGAAGAAAGCGATGATGACGACATTGCTGCTCGGGCTCGATGTGCTGTTTTTAGTTTGATTCCCGAACCTGGAACTCTTTTGACGTGGGGTGGCAAAAGCTTAGACATGTAGGAGGCCTCGGTTTGGGTTCTGCCCGGCATTGAGCACACCGCGTCCTGGGCTGGCTCATAAGAGTTGGGTGAAGGCGCAGCCTCTTCCCGCCCTATGAGCAACATCATCGTTGTAGCGATTTTTTCCAGTCCGGATGCATCTTGAGGTTGCGGAGCCGCACAAGTGGAAGTACGAAAGGCCGTGTGGATGCACATGTTCTCGTCAGTGCCCGGGCTTGTGGGCAGAGGTGTGAGGCTTTTTGGGTGTCTCAGGCGACCCATACCTATCGAGGATATCCGCTGGAGCCAAGAGACGGTTGGCATCCGAGCCTCGTGTGCATCTGGCCTATCTGTTGCTGGTAGTCTGACGCAGAAGGCGAATTATGCTTGACACTTCCTTGAGCTATGACGATACTTAGGATTCCGGGATGGAACCCTGCTCTTCGAAACGCTTCAGCCACTCGCTTGCTATGCTTGAAGGTTGCCTGGGTCGCGCGGGCTGTAACTAGCAACTTCTATTTGAGGCGTACATGTCTGCAATATGTGGATCTTCTCTTTTGAAAGAGCTCTTTTTTGCAGGCAGATGCTTGACGGCAGCATCAAGCCAGATATCCTTCCCACGTTCCGTGTCGTGCTGCGCGGACCTGAGCTTCAGAAGGTCGGCTTATGCCTGTGTGGGCTTCAAGCGATCTTTGCAGACTTCTATGAGCCCCGGTTGAGGTACGAGGATCTCCTTTACGCCGTCACCGGCAACCGACGTCTCTGGGTCCTCAAGGTGCCATGTTGGCAGATGGGGTGCACTGATCCTGTTGCGAGGCTTTTCGGCTGCTTGTCGTTTTGGGCCTAGAAGGGAACACCACCAGCAACCACTACAAGCGTTGTCTTGAGTTTTTGCTGTTGCACGTCCAGTTTTGTCATCATCTTCTTCTTCTTCTTCACGCCTTCTTCGGCTTTACCTTTACCTTTGCTGAGCTTGTTTTCAGCATCGCTATCAGTACGTGTTCGGATGGCGGTGATGATGATGTTGATGATGTTGGTGATCATGATGATGCTGATTGTGATTCTGATTATGATCATGGTCTCTGGTGATCATGGTGATCATGATGATGATGATGATGATGATGAGGTCAACCTTATCGCCTGTCAATGCCATCACACTTCTAACTTCTAGCAAGCCTATATACATACATATATATATATATAATTGGAAGCCGGAGCTTTCGATTACATCATCAAAAACGGCAGAAGGTGTAGGAACAACTTTGTGCAACATAGCAGAAATACCCCTCAGGCGTATCAGCGGCTGTCAGGTCGCCCAGCACCTGGGCTGCAGTGTCTCTCCGAGGGCTTCGGGTCCACGTGTCAACTTGGGTTTTAGTTTGTGTCGGGTGCCCTCAGGATGGCAGATGCGCTCTTTGATGCAGGTTTCTCCCGGCCGAAGTTATAAGGAAATCATGGCATGGAACCACTTGATCGAAATGCAGTAGACCCACCGCTGGCTGAGGGTAGCTTGATTCTACTGTCGTCGTGGTCGTCACCGTCTTCCACTCGTCGTCGTCGGCTTCGTCATCAGCAACATCCCCTTCTTCCTCCTCGTCCTCCTCCTCCTCCTCACCACCACCACCACCACCATCGTCATCATCATCATCATCACTTCCGTCCTCTCCGCCATATTGCACTGTCGCGAGTTGTTACCCGTCGCTGTCGTCGTCATTGTCATCATCGTCGTCCGTGTGACTAGCCCTGTCATCATCGCAGACAGCACCACCACCATCATCATCACCAAAGGTTTTGAGATTCTGGTGGGATTACTCCTTACTCCGGGGTAACGGAAACCACGAAGGGAGGTCATCATCATCATCATCATGATCATGGAAGTCCTCATCTTCATCATCATACTCACCATCATCGCCATCACCGTCGTGTCCACCACGCATCCTTGTTGTAACGAAAAGTCTCATCACTCCTCTTCCTCCTCCGCCTCCTCCTTCTCCTGGTCATCTTCCTTCTTGATATGGTGTTGCCGATAGAATGTTGTCAACCGAGCTACGAATGGCCAGTGGCGTCGGCAAGGTACGTGTCATCGCAGAGTGCCACCCTCCAGCAGCAATGGAAACGCCCTTGGACTGAAACAGTTCTGGGTTCCTGCAATTGCACTGCGGGCGCAGTTGGCGGATGTTTGCGATGTTTGTATTTAGCTCAGTTCTGCCGGCAGCAGTGGTCCCCGCAAAGGCAGTGGTGCAAACGGCGGTATTCAACGACAAGCAAAGGTTCCCTGGCTACGATGTTTCTTGTTTGCTTGCGAATCACACGGCTCAGTGTCCGAGTTGTGAGCGTTTGCTGCAATGGCAACACCAAGAAGCTTCCTGCTCGATCACTGTGAGAGTTTGAAAGAGTGTGAGAGTACAGCAGGCCAGTCGGTCCGCTTTGTCTGCAAGAGTTTTGCAGACTGCACCTATGCAGAGATGCAGGACACCTGATCTTTGGCCAAGTCTTTAAAGGGCTGCCTGGACGTAGTTCACCTACCTATCTGTCGTGTGACAAGAATACGAATTTTATGCAAATGAGACCTTGTGCTTCCTTGCGTCTGACGTACAGAGCCGAAGCTGTCCTGGCGCAGCGGGTAGCGACTTTCAAGCGCTGTTCTGGAAGCCGTGAAGCGATGCTCTGTAGGCCAAAGCCTGGTTGCACTCGCCAGGATGCGCTTTGGGCAGCAAACCTGCGGAAACATGCCCAATCGCCTCTCAGCTTCGGTGTAGAGTCCTGACCTGGCGCCAGCATGCTACCCTGCTGAGACGTGGTCCGTGCGAATCGGAGCCCGCTCGTTGCGGCTGCGGCTCGGAGTAGGCATTTTGCTTGCTAACCTGGGCAGTTGGTGTCATTGATTCCAAGGCTGACGCTGCTCGAAACGAAGGTTGCCGATGCACAGAAGGCATTAGTGTCATCGGTTGGGATAGCATCCGGGATGCTTGGACATATTTCGCGAAGACCAAGTATGAGTTCTGATTGTAGCGGTGTTTATCGCACCTCATCGGAGCTTTCGCTTTCTGAATGGGTGTATGGTGCCAAACCATTGGCCGACTGTTGAGGAAATGGTCCGCATATAGACCTGGCACCCCATTTTAGTGCGAATTTGTACCAGTGAAAGCATGAGTATTCGTGCATGGATCCCATGCTCTTGACTGCCGAAACATCTCCAACCTCAAGCATGTTGCCAAGATCCTTTCTGAAACATCGTGCCCACTCTTGCATCAAGCACCTTGCCCCGAAACCCTTGATCGAACCCTCACCTCACGGAAGCCTCCGCGCAGCTTTGCCGGAGGCCGAGGAGGAAGCCAAGGAGGCCAAGAAGGCTTCCGAGATGGCCGAGGTCAAGGCTCGCTAACGGTGATCTCTGACGACGATGCTAGCGACAATGGCGACGATTGCGGCGACAGAGCTGACGACCCCGAGTCTGCGAGAGGGGGGGAGACATGACGGCGACAGTGATGATGATGATGATGATGATTACGATGGCGACGATGGCATGTCGCTTACAATCACGGCTGCTGTTTCTGCGAGCATACTGAACATTTTTTACTGAATTTCCATGACTCTGCTGCGATTGCGATGATGAAGACGGCTGCTGCTGCTGCTGCTGCTGCTGCTGCTCCGGCTCCCACTGCTGCCAGCTGCTTCTAGTTCTACTGCTGCTAATGCTGTGTCGCTCCTGGATACCATCTATCTAGCAATTGATGTAACTGACTTTTTCACTGGTGAATTGCCAGACACAGCATTTTGCTTAGCTTTTGGGCAGCTGCTGCTGCTGCTGCTGCTGCTGCTGCTGTGGTTGTTTTTTTTTGGTTGTGGTTGGTGGTTGTTGTTGCGGTTGTTGGGAAAGCTTCATGTTACTGGGCATCAGTGAGGGAGTTTTCCACGTTGGACGAGTACAAAGCTTTCTGTGATGTGAGAGTCCAGCCTCTGGTATGTAGTGGCGAGACCGGAGTTGGCTATCGGGCCTCCCGTGAGGGAGCGAAATATGCTGCTAGTGCAGCTGCGGCGTCTGCTACGTTTACTGTTCGGGCTACTGCCCCATGGCAACTGATGCTGCTCCACTGCAGCTCCAGCTGCTCTTGTTGCTGCTCTCGCTGCTTCCTATTGTGCAGGAATGGTATATTGATTAGGGTAGTTTTGATGTCGGCGAGGTTGGCCTATCTGTGAAACAGCCGACGCCTCCCGGTACATGTATATACTATGTCCCGTACCTGGAGAGCTGTACAGTCGCACCCAGAAGCCACACCCCTTGTGCCAGGCCCGCTTCATGCAGCTGACCACGCAGGAAGTGGACCCTGGGCAGTGTTTCGAAGCCGATGAAAACTTTATTCTCAACAGTCGCGAATGCAGGTTATGCGTGGCCATTGTCGCTGTTGTGGTGGTAGTGCTATTTACGTCTATGTTGTGATATGGACTTTCGGAAGTTTGTCGTGATCGGTGGTGTTGGCTCTGGCTGGAACCAGCGTAACTAGAGCTTGGTTGTCCTCGATGAGGTTGAATCTGTTCTGAAACTTCTACTCTTCAATTCGTCATGGGCTATGTACCTCAAATCACTCGCGCATAAACACCAAGGATGAGCTGGAAGAGGAGTGCGACTTGGCCTGTCAAGCGAGGTTTGCGACCCACCCTTGTCGTTGGGTCTTGCAGTCAAGAACTGCCGCTGCCCAGGGACGAAGGTCCTTGTTCCTGTGCCTACCAGCATTGGGACTATGTCAGTGGTCAGCGACCTTTCTCACGTTCCGGTTCCTGCATGTCCGTATTACTTCACGTAGAATGCCCAGTCTTGGTCGTACCCAAACCTTGAGTGTCACCGTCACCGCAAGAATGCAAACAGTCGGTAGCAGCGCAAGCTTGAGCGGATTTGGGAGACCATCCCGTTTTTGCACAAAGCAGAGGTTCTCGTCGAGATGCAGAAGGGCGTGGGCAGTACCGTGGCCAAGGACTCCTTCCTTTTCTTGCGAGCTTTGCGAAATTCTTGCATTATGGGTTCGTTTGCCTGCTAACTGGGTGGTGCCTGCCAGGTACTTGGAGTCTGGATAATTGAGGCTTTGTGTGCTCTGCAAATTGAACTCAGCAGATCTGTACCAAGGGCATGACCTCTCCATCCAAGTTTGATGAACGATGAGACCCGTCTGCCAGCAGGAGGCACCGTTGTGGACGACGATGCGGCAACCACGGAGCTGCCCCAGGAGGTGGGGGGGTGAAAGCCGTTGCCTTCCGGGGGGTTGGAGCTTGGCTCCGATCGTGGGTGGCCCAGGAGGGAGAGCACGAGACCCCGCTGGAAGTGTTCCCAGCTACAGACGACGAGGAGGCGATTCGGGGATTCGGCGGGAACTGAGTCCGAAGCCTGGGTTCGATCTGATGCCTGAGATCAGAGAGGATGCGCTCTGGTTTGTTCAGTGGAAGGATGGCTGTCTGCACTCTCTGCACATGTCTCGACAGTCTGACAGAACTCAGAACAGCTTGTAGCTGCACTCCCAGCCCAGCACTGAAGTGGTGAAGCACTTTCGCGGCTTGTCACCCGGTGCTTCGGTGCAAAGCTCTGCTTTCAGGAAGTGGATTGCACCACCCGCAAGGCATGGCAACTTCCGATTCCCATTCCTCTGAGGGTTGCGATGCCCAGTGGGTTGAGGGAAGGGGCCAAGATAGAAGCTGTGGATTACGTTTGCGCCTATTGCCATAGCTAGAGATACGATGCGTGGCGATGTCGGGGGTCTGGGGCAGGGCATACCATACCGGTGAGCACTTTGATGCAGTGTTTCGGTTTGGGCAGGCTTCCTGATCAGAGAACGGTCTTCCTCAAAGAAGCTATGATGGTGCGAGGTTTGCAGCACCCGTGGCCGTTCACTTTCCAACCCCGCCATTCGGATACAGAGACTTCATGCCGATTACATCCCACGTCTCCCAGCCACTCGCTGCCGGGCGCAGGCGCTGAACTCTCTGCTGGGCGTTGTCCCGGACCAGAGCTCGAACAGCTACATGCAGCTTGATTTCGAAATTTCGAGGTGTTCTTTTTTTGGCGGGCTCGACACGTCGAGTGCTTGTCGGCATCTCAAAAGCCTTAGCTGTTGGCTGCTTCTGATCCTGAAGCCCTTGAGACCGATCTCTGCGCACCACGCTGGGCACCCGAAGGCCCCAGGCCCGAGGGCCCCGGTTCTGAGCCCTCGAAGCTTTGAGATCCCGTGGCCCGAAATCCAAGCTCTTGCTTTCTAAGGCCCGTGGGCCTGCAGATGGCAGCTCAGCAGCTCCTCGCAGACCCGCCTCCTGGCTTCCTTTTTCCTGCAACCACTCCTGCAATAACTACAGCGGCTCCAGCACCTGCATTAGCTGTGCTTAAGCTGGCCAGACCTCCACCCTGGACCAGTCTCGACTCCTGCTTCTGCCACATTCTTCTGCCGCTGTTCTGGCTGCTGCTTGTGCGACTAGAACTACGAGGACCCGGAGTTGCACGCTTGCATCTGGCCACCGCCACCACAAGGAACTTGCTTCTAGCAAACTTGCTACTTGCAGTCCTGTGACTTTGCTTTTCCGAGTGCGACGTGTGGTGGTTTTGCAGGTTGACCTGCGTTTGGGTCGTGCGCTTTTCTGAATGCCTCGCCTAAAGCATCTCAGGTACTCCGGCACGTTGGAGTGCCCTGGAGAGCTGACCCCCGAAGGCTGGCTCTGGGATCGGTGTCCTGATGCTCTCGTGGTCCCGAACATGAACGGGTTGAGGTCGTTCTTGGCACGTTGAGAGTTCCGACAACACTCGACAGTCATGCATCGAAGCATAGGAGCTCGAATGCATCAACGGATGTGGTTCGTTTGACGGAAATTAGCTTCCTGCCAGCAGGTTGGGTGGACTGTTCTGCGAGCTCTTGGCAGGCCACGCTGACCCAGGAGACTTGTTAGGGAGTCGAGTGGAAGAGAGCCGCGATGGTCATAGATCAGCGATCACGCCAGCAATTCTATCGCGCGCAATGCGGGCTGGGAACTCGCATTTTGGAGTGCTTGGAGTTTCGAGCCGAATCCCAAGCTTTATTGTCAACGTTCAGAATTCCTAGCTTCCTGAAAGGTCATCTGCGACACTTGCGCACAAACCGGTATCCCCCCAGCGCTCCGACACCAAGATGTCGTGTCGTACCAAGACAGAGGATGGCGGCTTCGACTTTCCGGGCTACTTCGAGCCCGATTGGTCCTTGGTGCCGCAGACGTGGCAGTGCCCGGTGCCGGCGGCAGCCGAGTCCTTCGGCGAGTTTCCATCTTGTGCTTGACCTGCTTGGGAAGGAGGGGGGGTGTCCTTAGGGTAGCTTATGACTCACGCACTGGGTTCGCACATACGAGCAGATGCCTACCTATCGTGTGCGCGTGTCGACACCAAAGGCCTCTTGTGTCATGGACCTTTGTTTGCATTGGCCTGTTTCTGACATGCTGAGGCCTGCATCTGCCATCCAGCCGACCCCGCCCCTCGACAAACTTAAGCCTGAAAGGGCTTGGGGCAGAAGGTGGCAGCTGCACTTCGTGGGGCTTGGGGTTCAGGGTCTAAAGTCTAAATGTTGGGCGCCTAAATTTCCTTATCCCCGTGCGAAGATCAGATTGCGCCCTTCAGCCAAGACCTTCGCAAGACTGGATTGCCGCAAGCACAGCATGCGCACGCACTGCTCGGGCCGTGCATGAGCAGGTCCTACTGTGAATCCCGAAAGTGTTGGATGGGATGCCGACAAACTTTCTCAACAGAAATGACGTTGTTGCTAAGCCCTCCCGGCCCGAAGGGTAAGTTCAAAACCACCAAGGCAGATACAACGAACCACTTGTCCGGCTGCAGGTTTCAGGTTTGGCAGATGCATTTCGCCGGACAGCTCGCCCAGCTTGGTTTCATGATCAGCCCGAGCCAGGCGGGATCACACGTTTGTCTACCGACATTTTTGAGTTGCGAACTATGCCCGAAGTACAACGGTTTTTCTTAAACCTTTCCTTGGGAATTCAGGATCCAAGCAAAAGCCTCGAACCTCTGTCAAGCCCCAGAGCTCTGCAATGCTCTGCAGGTGCCGGGTGGTGACCTGGCTGAACTGCCTTGTCCAGTCCCGCCCTGATGCGAGACGAGTACACTTATGATGACAAAGGTGTGTCAGTGGTAAGACTATGGAAGGGCGGCTGGAAAGAAATCCGTCAGAGGAAACCATATAGCTGGTGATGTTGGTTATGTCGCTGTGATATGGTGCCTCGATGATGACGGTTGGATGATGATGAGGAGGCGGGTGACGACGGCCATGATGCCTAAGATGACCACGATGTCGATGGTGAGGGGATACCGAATGAGCCATGGGATTCGACCCTGCTTTATGACTGTTTCACATTTCAACTTCTTTCAACTTCGAGCAACATCCCCGATGCAGAAGCTCTAGTTTTGCCTCGTTTGGAAGCCAAAGCTTGCAACCCCCGCAGCCTAGGACAGTGGGAGTTCCCGGCCGAACCCTGATGCGTGAGGCCGTTTCGTCAGGCTTCGAGATAATTAGAACTTCACGACGAGTCCCCGCACTGCGAATTTTGTATTGACAAGGTTGAGCCAGAGAAGCCGACAAGCCTGATTGTTTCGCGAATTGAGCCCGCGCATTGCGAATGGCTCCTTTGCAAGCCTCATCTGGCTGTGGCTAATTTGATTTTGCCGGGTCTCTGCAGGACCGCCCGTCCCCGGCTTTCTGCAGAGCCCTTGCCGGGGATCGAGCTTCGTGTGAGTTTTCTTGTAGGGCTGTGGCAGGGTGAGTCTTCCTGGCTGTGCTACAGCGATGGCACCATGGCATGCGCTTGCCGATCTCTGCGATGCCCTGCCCCGAAGCAGCCTGTCTGAGTTCCGAGAACACTTGACATTTGGCTGTTCCAAACTCATTATCTTGGCAGCATCAGGCGTCGGTGGGACTTCGCAGGGCTTATGGTGCCAATGATCCTGCGTGCTTAGGTGAAGGCGGCTCGTCAAGGGGATGATGCTGTGAGCTTGTTTATGATAGTAATAAGTGTTGTAATTATAATACTACTAACAGTGCTGCTACTACTACCACCACTAGGACGACGACTACTACGACTACTACGACTACTACTACTACTACTACTACTGCTGCTACTACTACTACTACTATTACTACTACTACTATTACTACTACTACTACTACTACTACTAATACTAATATTAATATTAATATTAATAATAATAATAATATTAATAATCATAATCATAATCATAATAACAATAATAATAATAATAACAATAATCGTAATAATCATAATGATAGTAATGATAATAATAATAGCAATAATGACAACAATAGTCTTAAGGTCAGGCTGAGGACATGTGAGTCATTCTTTGCTACCGGTTGCCTGCTTAGGGACTCAGAATTATACGACTCTGATGTCGTGCTGTTGACTGGGCGAGCTGACCGTGCTCAGACCACGCGGGCTTTTTCTAGGGATGGTGGAACTGGCTCGCAGGCTTCTTTTCAGGCCGCATGCAGTCAGCCAAGAGGCCAGAGCTTTTGGAAGGTAAGCTGTCAAGTTATGGGTGTACGACGTAACTAGGAAGAAGCTGTGGCTGTTTCATTACCCTTCGTTAGACCCTCCTTGGGAGGGCTTCGCCGCAGGCCTTGCTATGTGTGAGAGGCCTCGCTTCGTTTCGCCAATTCTATCCGCTGGAGCCAAAGGCTTCTGACAGAAGGGTCCCCTTTCGTCGCAAATCGAAGCTGCCGACCCAACGTGCCAGATTTAGCTGCACGGAATCTGATGCAAACTAAGCTGGTGGAGGTCGGGGAGGTTGTGCATGCAGGACATAGACACATCTGTGATACTCTCTGTGCTAGCTTCTTTCAAGCGCATTCGTAGCCTTGCGGGGTTTCGATTTCGGTCAGTTTTTTGAGGCCTTGCCGGACTTTCTGGACCCAGGGTAGAGCTCTATTAGACAGGGGACCCTCGCTCCGAGAAGCTTTCCTCTCAGGCACAGCGGACGTCGACCGAGCCTAAAGCATCCCAAGACAATTCCAAAAGCTGAAAGCTTCTTGCTTTCGCTTTGTGGAGAGAGAGAGAGAGAGAGAGAGAGAGAGGCTCAGGATCGCCCCGCCTCCGCCACCTTGGCTAAACCTTCGGTTACTTCTAAATTTTCTCCCCGAGCACCCCTCGATCTTCTTTGCTTTATGTCTGTTTGTCGGAGAGAGCTTGGTGTCAGGGATGTATGAGCGAGCATCGTCATCAATTGGCAGGCTTGCATCCGCGCCTGGTGGACATCTTGCGTGGGTTCGGGGTCTCAGGCAGCACCTCCGCAGTCTACACCGTCTGCATATGCTGTGTAGCTCCTGATGGGTTTTCGTGCCCTTCCGCCCTGAACACTCCCCTGAAAAGATCCTGAGAAGCGTTGGTTCGCGGCTGTTTCCAAGTACCTGCCGTTGCACCAGCCCCAGACTCCAGCCCCGTGCTGCGACATTGCCAAGGCGAACTCAGGTTCTGCGAATTGTGTACATCAGTACGGGTCTCAGCTGTGGCCCTCCGATGTTCGGTTTGGGATTGGAATGAGTTTTCTTGCTGTAGATGTTCCTTCTGGCCATCCGACATAGCCCCCACCAGGCTCCATGTCAGCCAGCAGCCCTTCACTTCGGAGAATCTTATGCCCTGGCGAATTGGCTCGAGGCTGCAACGTGGAGAGCATGGCCGAGGCTCGTCAGAGCCGCCCTCCGAGGGTGCAGCGGGGCAAACTCTCTGCGCCGGGTTTCGGAGAAGCTCTCTGTGAGCCAAGTCCCGGGCCAGGATGTGGCGAAACTCGGCTCCTCGACGGAGGAGGGAAGGGAGATCTGTAGGGCTGTATAGGGTGTAGGGTTGAGAGGTGAGCGCCGTTCAGACATGATGCGTCCCTCGAGCAGGTGCAGATCTTGTTGTTGTCGGTGTCGTCGTCGTGGTTGTGGTCGCTGGTGCTCTTGGTGTTCTTGATGTTCTTGGTCGTCTTCTTGTTGTTGATGGTGGTGGTGGGCTTGGTGGTGCTTCCTTCGTCTCCTTATGCCTTGTCTCTTTCTTCTTGTTCGTCTTCGGCTTTCTCGCTGAATATGAGAGTGGAGGAGGAGGCCGACGATTTCGTGCCGGTGCGGACCGTTGCGGTGGATTCCTTCCCACAAACCGTGCACGTCGAGGCAGGATGCCCGAACCCCCAGTTGAAGGCTGACTAACTGAGAACTCAAACTGCACTTGCAGCCCCTATCCTTCATAGCCCCCCAAACGAAAGACACCCTCGGCGGAACAGCAAACTGGCCAATTTTTGGATCCGATTGAGCAGTTTTGCCATGTCTTTCAGCCACATGGCTTCCTTTGCTGGCTACGCATGCTGCCGTGGGTGCAGTGGATGTTTTGGAAGGGGCGCTTCCAGGAGACGTCCCTGCATCTTGTGCCGATGGCGAAGAGTGCGAACTGCATTTGCTGCAGTCGCTCTGACCTCGGAAGCCGACTCAACAAGCGGGGAAACAGGGACTCAGAAGGAGTGGCCGGCGCCGGTTCAACGACGCGGTAGCCGAACAAGCCAAGCGGTGCAAGAGGCGTGTCAGTGGCTCAGGGACGCCCACCACCTGCGCAGCCTACCGCATCGAGGTTCCGTGGTGACATGTCGTGACATTATGCCCTCTTCGGGTATCAGGAACTCCAAGCTACAGAGACCACACTGTGTTGCACATGTCGAGCCGCAGTGTGTTTTTGTTCAGGTCTGGGTCGGGGTCGGCCACTTTTTGTGTTTATCTGTAGCCCTCTGGTCCAGTGTGGCTGGATGTTCCGTTCTGAGAGAGGGACCCTGGAGCTCACTTCCCTCACCTGGCTTGCCAGAGTTGCGAGAGCCAACCGTGGAACCTTAACTTTGAGACTGAGGCTTGGGGGTATATTATGCCATGCCAATTAGGAACTAACTGTCACGGGAGATGAGGACTTTTGGCCCAGTTCGGTTTCTATCTTCCTTCATATCACAGCCAGACATTCCGAGTTCGCCTGCGGCCAGAAACATTCTGCGGATCAGGCCATCCAGCTCCTGGAACGGGCTTCCATCGTGGAGGATCCAAGAAAGAGGCTGAGCAGGGCCCAAGTCAGTGGGGGCGCCGATGGCAATGTCCGGGCAGGGGTTGTGGGCTCAATTTCCCTAAGGCTTTTGACAGATTAACAGAGAGGAGTCTTTCTTGCTAGTAAACCTGAAAGATGCGGATGTTCATGCCAGATCAGTTACAGTGAAACTCGCTCCTCATGCTCACGGAGGTTGACACTAGATGAATCGGCTGGTCAAGCAGGGCTGGCGTATCTTTGCTGTTATCCGCCGCATGAGGCAGTGCAACCTGTCCTTTGAACCATTTTCCTCACCTTGGAGACTTGCGCGGTGTGGGAACCTGACCTATTCAACGTGCGGAATGAGATGCCCTTGCGCAATCAACCTTCAAGCAGGCAAAGCTTCTCCTCAAGTTTTGACAGCCTTAGAGGGTTCGTGCAGAAAATGGAGGAAGCATCCTACAGTAGGAATGCAGACAGCCAGAAAGCCCAGACGACAACGCCCGCTGTCAGACAGCTCGGAAGTTGAGAAGCCTCGCCCGGTTAGCACAACTCTAAGAGTCTGCTGAGCGGCTTGGTTTCGCATCATCCTGCAGTAGCCGGCAGGCAGAAGAGAGCTCCTGCCGAGGAGGATGCTGACGCAACGGCAACAGAAGGCACCGAAAGGCAAAGTGCGACGTAAAACAAGCTGGATGTTTCTGACGCATGGTCGAGGCTCTGGCAGACCTAGTGCAAGGGCCGGTTGTCAGATGAGATGACAATGCGGGCAGGGCAGACAATGTTGTTTGAAGAGTTCGGCAGTTCAAGAGTTCATGGATCCGGCTGTGTCGGGAGCCTGTTTTTCGGCTTCCTGGGGCGAGGAGATGTTGGGGTCGAGGATGTGCGGCATCCCGAAGACAGGCAGATGTAGGGAGGGTGTTCAGATGCATTGACTCTTCTGTGTTACAATCTTCCAGAGCCCGAAACCCCAAAAAGCCCCAAATCGAAACCCTAAGCTCTACAGTAAGGCCGGTTACCCCTGGTCTCAGCTGTACAGTGGCTCGGGAGGGGGCGTCTCGGGCACCGGGTGCGGCGGTGCAAATTCCACCGCCGCCGGGTCGGCCGCCTCCCAGCATGGCCAGCGTTGCGGGGATGTGTCTCGGCGGCCTGAAAGCTAGGGAGCCGGAGTGCTTGGGATTATATGACTATGATTTTGTGGGTTCTTTCTGTATTACACAGAATGGTCTTGGGCATACTCTGCTACAGTTATATTAGGCTGCCCGAAGCTCGATAATTTCTACCGATTCTTCACGCTAACCTTGCAGTCAATGTGTATACTTGTAATCAGGTCAGGTTTGCTATTTGGGATCCTGACAGTCGGCATAACTCATTGGTGTTGGGCCGAGGCCGCCAGAGCGGCAGAGTCAGCACGAGAAAATTCTCCGTGCTTTCCGAACAGCACTGCCAGAGTCCGGATACTGGACTGAGAAGCAGGCGGGTTTGGACTTCGGAAGCGTTCGCGGAAGCAGGTAAGTATGAGTTGTACTTCATGGAGTTTCTTGTGGTCAGGGCCTAGGAACGTGATATTCCGTCCAAGGCCCATTCTAGACATGGTCAAGCTTCAGCCTTTACAGAAGTGCCAGGTGCGGGTTCTCCTCAATGCCCTCGGCGTCGAGCTGAGCGAAGAGTGCGGAGCTCGTTCTTTCAAGCTTTCGTAAAATGAGAGGTCAGCGAGCTCTTATGCTGGAAACTGCATGCCCAAGCGAGCTTCACGTCGGTCAGACGGAGTTGCTTAACAAAGCTCAGCTAGTATGGGGGAGGCACTGCTGCTATGGCCTGGACTGTGGCAATCAGCAAAGTTTCGGTTCGTGACGGTGGTTGTCGAGACAGTGTGTCGTTCATGAATCGAATACAAGCGAAGTTTGATGGACGCCGTGTCGATGGCTGTCTCCTCGCAGTCACTTCATGCCACGATTCGTTTGAGCATCCCGCGCAACAAACGTCTCCTTCGAGTTGTCGTGAATCATCGATGGCTCCCCAGTATAACTTCTCGCCCTAAGCCCCTCCACCTCCGAGCCGCCCACCTACAGGCGGCTTCGTTCAATGATCGATGCCGTGAGCAGCGGCTCTGGCAAGGCCGTCTGATACATTTTTTGTTATACTGCATAATAGCACGTGCATAATAGCACGTATTAGCCTACTACTTATACCATATGATTCTGTATCATACTAGACCATGCTAGGTGCATCAGTGAACGTCCCTTGAGGATCGACGATCGATGTATGCGAGTCCACGGCAAGTGCGGCTTGCACAAGTGTTCGATCACGTCATGGCAGCTTTGCACTCTGTCCGGTAGACATCTCGTAGAGGCCGCAAGGCTTGTAGGCCGCTCTTTCGGCATGTCATCTTTCTTCGTTTCAATATTTCGCCGGAAATCTAGTAATGTGGTTCTATGCTTGTACATGGCCGTGTTTGCTTTCATGCTATTCTACGTTTCTCTAACTGCCTGACCGTCCTTCGAGACGTTTCGAGCATATTGGTATGCATGTCCAGAGTTTTGTATTGTGTATGATGTTTAACTGTTGGGTCCCACATTCCATGTGGCTTGTGGCCTGTATGTAATAACAGCACAAGAAGTTTTATTCGTTGCATTCGTGTGTTACGGTTGCATTTTGACCTGCATCACGTGTCACTAAGCTGAGAAGTTGGTCATGCATTAGCATGTACAAGAGTCGTTTCTGCTACACAATGTTTGCTCTTTGAATACACACAATGTCGCACATGCCCAGGCACATGTCTACCTGCTTCTTCGCGTGCTGTCAAGTACTCACTTGGTTATGTAAAGACGGCTTTGGCTTTCTGTGCCAAGAAGCTGTCGACCGTGCTTGTGTGGGCAAGGCTGGAACCGCAAAGACTTCCGGAATCCAGCTTGCCTATCCGAACAGGTCACCTACGAGCAGCTCATCTCGTGGCTGTTCACATGTGCCTCGAACTTCAGAGTACCAAGTTTGAGTCTTCAACTCTCGGGGGGAAATGCGACTGCTGCACGGGGCTCTCACTGTTCAGGAATTGCCGCTGCTGTGCTATGTGCTGGCTATTGTGTTTCGAAGCGGTGTGGCAAGGTTAGGTCCAAGGTGGCAATCATGGCAGACTTCGCTTGGGGGTTGTCTACTGTTGAGGCATCCCGCCGAGGGGACCTTGGAACGGGATCCCTTGCCTTTTTCATTCCGCTTCACTATACTTAGTATGATGCCAGTGAATCAAATATATAACAATAATAATAGTAATAATAATAACAATAGTAATAATATCAACAACAACAATAATAATCCAAAGCAAAGGTGACATGCCTGGCCGAGACGGCAAGAAGGTCGAGGCGAAGGCCGGGCAACAGAAGAGAGCTCATCACAGCAGTTTCTGAGCACTGCTGGTGCTATGTCGAGTCTGCGTCGAAGGAAGGTCTCGAGTCCAGGGCTAGGGTTTGGTGGCTTTGTGTTTGGGTGAAGCGTGTCCCTAGTAGCGACAGACCACGATCCCGGGCACGTGTCGAGTGCTTGCTGTCTCTGGCTTTGGAGGCTGCGGAGGCCTCGCACGCTGCGGCTGCTCCATCCCTGGCAGCTGCTCCGCGGGCGACAGCAGAGGCAAGAGCCGGCTGAGGGGCGTTGTCCTAGAGCAGTGACTTGGCACCAGGCTGCGCCGGCATCCCCAACAGCAGCCAAAGCAGCTGCTGAATCAAGGCAGCGACATATTCGACTTTCGGGCAGTTGAGGCGTGGTTTGACCACCACCGCCGCCGCCGCTGCGACACCACCACACCTACCGCTACTCCCAATCCACCCTTGCCGCTGCCGCAGCCACTGCTATCACTGCTGCCACTGCTACCACTACCACTGCTGCCACTGCTGCCACGCCTACCACAGCCGCCACCACCACCACCACCACCGCCACTACTACCACTGCTCCTGCCACTCCTACCGCTGCCACTCCAGAAACACCACCGCCGCCGCCACCAGCACCGCGACGACGACTACTACTACGACTAGTACTAGTACTAGTTCTCGTACTCGTACTGATACTAGTACTGGTGCTAGATCGTAGTTTCAGTCTCTATAGTCCTAATTCCGGTTCCGTGACGTTACGAATTAGATAATTAGTATCCGCGTCAGTGTGTTCATGCCTGTTAGTCGCAGTCTTTCTAATTCTAGGTCAAAATACCATGACCACAACTACATTTACTGGGTCTGCTATTGTCAGTGTTCTTTTGCTCCCCTCCTCCTCCACCATTGCCATTCCTGAAAGCGGACGCTGAACGCCCTGACCAAGTGCAAGAGCCCACTTTGCAAGGGGCATGAGCCTCGCCGAGTCTGCTATTCGGGCGCAGCTGGAGTGGCAGAGCTGCATTGCTACCCAATCCCCATTCTGCGCTTTAGCCACACTCGACACAGGAAATTGCCAACTTGATGGCCCTTGCCCTCAATGGGCTTAAATTTAGGGTTCAAATTTTAGGGTTTACGGGTCATGGGCATGGTGGAAGGTGTCCCCAACTACTATTCGTGAGATTCATGGCAAGTCATTCTCATATATTCTCATATCTGTGTGGGCGCTCACGGGATCCGACGAAGGAGGCAGATGGAGTCATGTTTGGTCACGAATGTACTACACATGACCATACATACTGACATAAACCATGCCATGCTATGCGTCATTTTCGTGATCACCCCCCCCCCATAATTTACAGCCGTCCATGCTGGCATACTGCTACATAACACAATCATGCGCGGTGCCTTGGTCGTGCCAAGTACGAAAAATATCCTTTAGAGTTCAAGGCAAGACGGTCTTCGATGAGTATCGATCGGCTCGACACTTGTAGTTGAGCACCGGCTGTCTCAGGAAGATCATTCAGCAGCACCCATATGCAACCTGGCCGCATCTGTGTTTCAGTGCCACATCTTTATGGTTCTTATATAGCCTGGAGGGCTTCAGAACATAGGCATCAAGCCAAGCAAGCGAAAGACATCCAAGAATGTCCCCACCCCGATTGTCAACCCCAGCACCTGCATGGCCGCAATGAAGCTTATGCAGCTCGTCAGGGTAGTAACTTTGTAATCCTGCCTGCGTTGAAATTCGGCATGTGCATTATACAAAGCCGTAGGCCATTCTCTGATGTAGATGCTTGAATGATGCAGGACAGCAGCAGCGATATTCATGTTATCGCATGTTAGGCTCAGTCTCTGCTTCGTGCCAAGCTGCGGAGTTGGAAGCTTTGTGGGATGCCACACCGCTCGCTAGCCACAGAAACAAGACGACACCATGGTCGTCTATCGTTTGGTTTGCTTTCCACAAGGACAGGAAGCCCATCCCCACCATTGACACCTTCTTTTTCTAACGCCCAGCGGTGCCCAAGCCTCCGACCCTTCAGGTGGAGCCAGGCCAAGCCCTGTCGCGACACCCCGCCACGCCTTTCGTGTAGTCCTCAGATGGGAGGGATAAGGATAGTTTCTGCTACATGACAGTTTTTGGTGTACATATATACATATATGAGGTTATAGTATAGATTACATTTTTGTATGTGCTACATCATAGTATGTATGACATGATGGCACATATTACACTTCTGTATATGTTACATGCCAGCACGTATTACATTATACTACGTATGGTGGACTTCTGCTGTTTCGACATCGCAGGGTCAGCGCTCGGTGTTGGAGTTGGGTGATTGGAGTGTTTACAGTGTTGCCATCGGTGTGGCCGATATCTCGCTGTGTGCTAGGCTGAGGAGCATCTAATTTGGACGATGACAGTCATGAACTCATGACCTCCTCGTTCGATCGCGAGCCGATAAGCCTACCTTTGCAATCAGACTGGAGTGTCCTCCTTGCAAGTGCTCAGCCGACATCTGCTGCTGAGATTGAGAACTGCCGAAAGTGCCTGGAGCATGGGAGCCTTGGCTGGCAAGTGGCTGTGCCGAGCGCAAGAGAGTTCCTTCGCTGCATCGTCTTTTCACACGAGAAGTTCATGTTTAGGTCAAACGGTCGGCAGTCCAACCTCGAGTAGTCCCAGATCAGCCGCTGCAAACGTTGCGGTAGCTGAAGGATCAGGGCAAAGTGCGCTGCAGCCCCTGCTCAAAAAAAAGGTCAAACGGTCGAGAGCCTGGGTCACCAAGCCCTAAACCGCAAACATTGAACCTAGAACACTTGTACGTACAAGATTTATACAATCCCGATAGAACCCAACCCCCTATAGAGCCCTTGTAGAACCCCTCATGTCCAAACTCCACCGAGAGCCCTCAGTCCGGAGGAAGTTCGAGCAAGCGCAAGAGGAGCTCCGACGCACTCGAAGTGTCATTGAGACGGCGAGGGGCTCGGTTTGGCTCAGAGCTTTAGCTCTTCCTGAAGTGGGGAGTTTTTGAAACAGGGGGTACCTCATGTGGGGGTTGTTAGAGCAAGGATTCCGTAGTTTTGCATTCTTTTCAAGGCTACATGCTTATCTGAAAA